AATTACTGGCTCTGAATACTCGTACAGGTACTTGTACTCGGGTAAGGACGTGGGTCGCTAGATGGCCAGGGATTCTGGAGGCCAGATAGTATGTGTATTTCCCAAACAAGCAAATGGCAGGGATAACATTTGTGATCCCTGGCTGTCTGGTCACCCACGTCCATACCCGAGTACTTCGAGTACTAGTACGGTGCCACGGGTATGGTAAGGTCGTTGTTCGTGACTATCATATTTTTGGTCTCCCTTTTGGTTTTAGTGTTTGATCTCACTCCCACACATTCATGACCAATTTTATCCTAAATTCGGTTTGCATCCTCTTGATGGTGTAGAGTGCTCGGGTAGGGCCTCTCTTCTAGAGTTATATAACCAATATATCTCATAGCCAGTATTCCTCTTTTTATCTAAGATCCTGTACTCCAGCAGGAAGGCACCATCATGGTTGGAGTCAGGTTGAAATATCACAACTTTATCAAATAGTCTATTGCAACGTGATTCAAATTAATGAGGATGTTAATAAAATTAATAGAAATAATTAACCCTCATGAAATTACAATAGGAATTACCACACCTGTAAATTTTTCTAAACTATACCTTAAAACCTATAAAGGAGTAGGTAAGGAGTGCTCCGGAGTTTTTTTTCGGCCGCTCGCCAGCTCTGAAGTCTCAGCTTAGGGCTAGATTTTGCATGGGAGTGGGAAAGTTGAAAGAAAATCCCCGGAGATGTCTGCATTGGGAGCTAGCCAACCTCCCCTAACGTCTGTCGCGATACCAGTATTCAAGCTGGTAACGGGTCGAAGTTGTGACAACCGTATTGAGAATAACAATAAAGGAGTACAGCTGCACCCCTGCTACCCTGAGCGGTCGGGGTCCGAAGGGTCTGTTTGCCACAGTGAGTGATCCAGGGCAATAGGACAGGTTTTGGAGTTTCCTTCATGATGGCTAGGTCTGAGTGTAGGGATCCCGGAGATCGGCGATTAATTTAGGTTTCTCCGGTCGCTCAAGGAGCGGTGCGGCAGCGCGCCACGGGATACACCTCATATGGCTCGAAAACAACGCATATCGGGGGTGATTCGATTCTCCTAGGGTTGTTGGATCTGGTTTGAAAATTTTATAGCTCAATGATCTGGCGCATGTGTAATGACAGACAGTGCACGTGCGGTCATCCCTAAAGGCTTAGAGGAAATGAGGATGAAGCATTGCCAGTGGTTTCGCACAGGAACATTTGCAAAAGTGGTCGAGCAGAAGTGCTCGTACTATCTAAGGGCGGGTGAGTGAGAGGTGGTAGTAAAGAATTCTTGATAAGGAGAAAACTGCTTGGTCTGTTGGTTGGTAGTCGAGTATGTATCTGGGTATGGGTAGTCTAGGCTTTGGCCGAATTGCGACGGGTCACCTCGCCGGGATGGTGGAGGTACTGGTGGGTGGGTTGCAAGCAGCAAGGGGAGCAAGCAAGGAGAATTATTGGCCTTAGTCGTTGTGCTGTAAGTTTTCTTGTTCTAGGCAAGAAGTATTCGGGAGTAGGGGGTTCGCAAAATATGGGAAGTCCGTGCATGTCTGAGCGCACAGACAAAGTCACGACTCGTAGCCTCGAATAATGTAATCGTCCCTTTTTACCTAGCACAAGTGCTCCGGTATTGGAACATGAGCGCAGTTGTGCAGTCTCCTGCCATGACAATTTCCTCCTTTTCATGGGCTTTAGAGATCTATTGATAGATGCTAACGCCTGTCGCATGAACTTTAGGAATGAATAGCCTCTTTCGCAGCACTTAGGAGGGTGTCTTGAGGTAGAACCGCACGGCTCTCGATCCTATGCGGGAACCCGCCAACGGCCGCTGTGGTGGGAGTCGCTGAGACCCCTTCTGGCGAAGGTTTTTACAAAGGCTAACTTGCTAGGAGGTGTATGGCAATAGAATTCCGAGCAGATACCAAGTCTAACCCAACCCACAGCATCATAAGTGCGCCACTAACTACCGCATCAGTACCGGTACAGGAGCTCCATATTTCTAAGCGTGTCGTAGTTTTCTCCCTTGCGGTAGTGTGGTGAAAGTTGACGAGAGGTGTGTGTGGTTGGGCTTATTCTGGTACCGTGGAGCTCGGAATTAATACCTCACCAGCAACCAATAACACCCGGGAGCCCATGATATGAGAGCACATGATACTTCCCGTGACCTGCTCTCTCGATAACTTAAAGTTGGAAACTCAAATGACAAATAGATCCCCAGTCTTGACGATCTCCCGGGATTTTACAGGAATTCATTTTCCCACCAACTAAAACAACGTCTTAGTTGCCTCTAACCAAAGATCAAATTTAGTCTTCCGATAGGGCAATATCCCATCCTAACCTTATGTCTTTGACATCAGGCTGAATCTCAAAAAATTTACTATCGGGGTCACGGGAGCCCTAAATCACTTTACGGACGAGCTTGTATGGGTATGAGTGGTGGTCCATGAGCGAAAGTGACAGGGTATCTGCTTTAGGTACGGGACTGTAGATCTCCCCGATCCCCGATTGGTTAGATATGACGATCATCATATGCGCTAATCTAAAAAGTGTACCGTATCCCCTAGAGCCGGAACTCTATATTGATTCTGCAGATACTTTAGTCATGACGGCGAGCGGGCCACGGATATTTGATGTGAGGTCGTGCCGTGACCATATCATACCGGTATGTATTCGCTACCATACTTCGCTTCCCGCTAGAACCCCTGTGACTGAGTCGGTACTTGGAGCCCTGAATTTCTCCTGTTAGGGAAAAAGAGAAAAAAATTGTAGTACCCACCTGTGTCCAACCGTGGGGTTAACATAATTAGGATCCGGTAATCCAAGATCTAGGTATCTTACCAGGTGCTAGACACGAGTAATCTAGCCAAGGTTTGTGGTTCTGGTAGATTGGATTGCACCACTGCACGATAGGATTTTTGATGTTGGAGGTCCTGCATGCTCAGGTATGTTCTGGCCGGGTTCCATGCTTGACATTGACGGACTGCTACGGCTACCGAAAGAGGTTCTCGGATGCGGAGCCGGGCTCCTCCTGGCATCTACAGGTAAAAATGAACACTTTGGTCCTACTCTCTGATTGGTTGGAGTTTAAAGAACTCAACCCGTTAGGGGTTTAGATAACAGTATCCACCATGACTAGGCTTTGGCCAACACTCATTTGGAGCCGGCTCATTGATTGAGTGTCACAGCGTGTGGGACAACGCCATAGTCTTCAGACATTTATTCCCTCTATTTAATGGGCCATGTGTTGGAGGTGGCAAGGACGGATACTTTGTCCTGTGGATGAGCTCAATAAATGGTGTGGCAATTCGCTCAACCATCCTTCCCCCGCTGGTCTAGGAATCAACATGTACGTTGCCGGGGTGGTTCCCGGGGATAGAGAACAGGCCCTCGTGGGACGGTGCGTTAAGCCTCGAAGTCGAAATGGTTTATTTTTGCGGCTAGAGAAACCCGATCGGCGGGACGAGGCGATTTATGCTTCCATGTTTTACACTACTTACCATTACCAAAGTAAACCTAGCAAACCGCAAAACTCAAATGGAGGGTTACATTTTGCCTAGAACAATGTGATGGGGGATTGGAGACATCCAACTGAATTGGTAGGAGTATCTTGACTTGTTGAACCGGGTGTGATGCTGGGATATGCTAAATGGAATGCTAGTTGATCTGCCAACCCGCCCACCCAGGCAAGTTAGATCGACAGCCTGTAGCCTGAAAATCAGAAATGCGCCTGAGATACAAATCAAAATAATTGTACGCTGCGACCGAATGAGAGGAGTTGTGGAAAAAGGAAAGTTGGAAGGGAGGTAAAGATGGGAAAGAAAGGAGGGAGACAGAGAAGGGAAGAAAAACAAATACAGTCCAGAAAACGACACGGATTAGATCTTACGGCATTGATTCAAATTGGGGATCGAAGAGGACTTCTGATCCCTGAAGGGAAAAAGTACCCTATTTCTGACTGATCTAATCTGAGTCAAGGTTTCGCTAATCTTTCATCCTTAGTGTGGGTATCTAGATCTAGAGGGATTGCTGGATCGATCTCTAAGCATATGCCATATCGTATCTTTCGGGCGTGCATTCCTGTGTTTTTATTGGAGAGGGAGTAATACTGGGTAGTGGAAGCGTTCTAGTAATCAACCTGAATACAGTAAAGGTAGAATATTGTCAGAGCCTCATAGTAGGAGCGGCAAGTTATTTTTATGGATACCGGAGCCTCATTGCGGTCTAGAGGATCAATTTTCATGTCTCTGGCTCTAAGCACTGCTCAGAATTCGTTATTGTTTGGGGGGGGGGGGGTGGGAGGGACTCAGGGGCGGACTTTGGAAACAGTGTTTAGTGGGATACCATACTCTATGGATCAAGTGTAGAAATGATTTTCCTCTTTGACTTGCTCCTATATATTGGTAAGGGTGTTTTGATTCGGTACATAGATATCAGAGCTAACTTAAATACAGGATGGGGGGGCTTTCATCTCGTCCTTGCGATGCCCATTCGGCTCAATATCTCGGATTCCAGCATTTCGTTATTTTAAAACTCAAGATATACCTGTGTCTGTCCTGAGTGTTCCCTCAGGCTTTCCCCCTTGAGGTCGGACCCCTTTCGCTTTCATGTTATCGGTATAAATATCGCAGCCAACTTTTCTCAAAAGATGCCAACACCAAGACAGCGAGCAATGGCAGCGTCTTCCGAGACCCGTGCTCTTCTTCCAGATATACCTGCGAGATCCGGCACTGACCCTACTTCGTATTTCTGGCGATATACTACCTGTCTGCCTCCACTCCCCGCGAAGTATCACCAACGACTCCGCTCGGCAGTCATAGAGGGAGACCCTCTAGATGTCGCCAAGGATTGGCAAAACTATTCATTCCAGTCTAATTCACAAACTTCCGCGGATACGTTCCCGTTCCCACCCCCAGCATCGTACACGCACACCTACTCGAACAGAGCCCTCTCTGGTCATCGGGCTCCGCCAGTCCACTTCCAGAGCATGGCGGAGGGCGGTATGTCTAATAGGATTCTAGTACTCAATACAGCAAACGAGAAAAAACCCGGAGGGGAATGGGAAGGGGGCGTTTTGTCCCAAGAGGAGGGTTTCGCGAGGCGTTCGAATCTTATACAGGCCCTAACGACAACGGACCCCCGATCAGGCCTCCAGACCTATTACCCACTGGAGAATACGAGCGGGATATATTCGCCCAATGTCGTTGTCTTCAGAGAGGGTTTTGATAAAGATTACGAGTTGTGGCGGGACGAAGAATGGACAACGTTGGCGATCGTTTCCGCGCCAGCGGTCCGGAGGCCAAAAGTTGATGAATCGGGGCTGCATTATTCCTTTACGGAGGAGAGGCAACTGCAACGCGAAAAGATGAAGAGTGTGCTAAGAATAGCTGCGTTGAATGGACACACTAATCTGGTTCTGGGGGGGTTTGGTTCTTGCGGACCTGAAGGTAGTGGCGGTGACTTGTACAAAAATCCTGTCAGAGATGTCTGCCTCCTTTGGAAAGACCTACTTTTCGAAGATGAAGAATTCAAGGGATGGTTTAAGAACGTTGTTTTTGCTTTTGGAAAAGGAGGTGGGAGTTGGATGAAAGAAGATGGTAATAGTATTGAGGAGTTTAGACAATTTTTTGGGTAGAGGTGGAAGATTGAGTGAGTGGAGGTTGGTTCTGCGCTTAATTTGCGCAACTGTGTTTCTACTTTTATCCCCACTGGTGAGGTCTCACTATCCCTGTTTTTCTCAAGTTGTGGGGGGTGTTTTCCGGATCTGGCGGGAAAGATTCGTTGGTGTCTTCTGGGGGGGTTCGTGATTAGATGAAGTTGATTTTTTCCTTCGAGTTCTATTTTTTAGCGGATCGATTTTTCTCTGGGGTGACTTACCGTATTCGTGCTTAACCGCTAATCCCCTTTCAAAATACTTCACAGGGTTTAGAAGGCCAAAATCATTGGTGTTGCCAGGGCTTGGCAGGGGGCTTGTTTTTTGTATTTTTGATGATTTCCTATTCTTATCGACACGGTATCTATTATTGCTTTCTATAACAATTCAGACTTATACTATCGGGATGACGTTAATGGTATATTTATTGCGGGTGAACGATGCTCCAAAGCTGATGTCCGAACCTCGTGTTCAATACGGATTACTCACCCAGCCCTGTTGGGTGTGTATATAAGAGCTAACGATCGGTACACCGTCCCAAGGTGTCTAAAGATCCGCCAGAATTCCTTGCGATACTGAGGTTCTAGTATTACCGGAATTTGGTGATGGTCAATCTTAAGGTGGTTTCCAAATACCAGTATGTCCAACCCTCCGGACGGGGGGAGAGGACGTCAACACTCGAAGCACATTAGAAACTCGTTGGATATTGAGATGGGGATATATGATTTCACATGTGGCGTTATTATTCTATCCGGTTGGGAATCTGGGGTCCCTACGATTGTCTCAGCAGCAGTGTAATGTGGGTGTGATTTGTGCAGGGGAGCTATAACCTGTGCTGAACTCAGCCACCAACCTACTACTGGTACTTGTTACGCTAAACAGATCTTGCCTTGATACCCAACCCACCCGAGAAATAAGACCGGTATCATTCCTAATATAAGAGATAAGGCACAGTGTGTTATCACCAGCAATTACTCAAACACTGTTGTGCTGGAATCGGTGGAAAAGAAGCCTCATGATATCACACTGAACAGGTAAAAGAAGCCATTTCGGAATCCTCTTTTTTAAAATATGTTCGGGGTGTTCAGATAACGACTCGAAAATGTCTCATATCAGCATCCTGTTGGTGGTTGACAGGCAATTTGTCTCAAGAAAGTGTTACTCGCAACGAGCACACCGGAATTAAAATGAACCCCCCACGTTTCTTTACTGGGGCCCACCAGCTGAACGGGAGTCACGGATATCACCCCCGGACCTTTATCAAGTAGCTTGACTACGGTGGGAGTGATGCGAGTGGGTGAGAGGATGACGGTTGCTGAGTGAGGGGGGGGCACAAGGCTATCAAAGCGCTAAAACTTTACGAGTGATAGGTCGTGAGGGAGTTGGTAGTACAATACTGTTGGTTTGTTGAGAAATGTGACCCTGCATGTTACTGATTCAACCTACTAAGATTGTGTGTAATTGGGCAGCAGGATGTGTTTGTCTCCTGGAACATAGAATACTCTCGCCAATCAGGAAAGCAAGTTAAGGTGGTGTAGGTTCTAGAAATGGTTCAATCAGCCAACTGATGACTAGGATCTATTCAAACGCGATGAGATCGAGCCTATGGCATAACACAACAGTCGTGCTCTCTTTTCCTTGCACGAATAAACACTCTCAGTTGATGTAGTATAAGTGGCACAAGTGGCAACATATTTTGTTGTATCACCTGAGATCTTGAGAGAAAGGGAAGTCCAGTCTGGATCCTTCGACCCATCCAACCGGAACTCTACAGCCTTGAAGAGTGACCTGAATGAGCCAGGCCATTGGAGAAACCTTCGAGCCGATCGCTCATTAAAGGGACCTACATTCGTCGGTGTCCTTCCCGTAACCGGAAGTGAGTATGCTCTTATAAGGACGTGGACTGAAGCGAACCCTCCGCTCCTTGGTATGGTAGTCGTACATATCAGCACTCCCAGTCAATCACAAGTTATGTGGTTGGGTACTGGGTGTTAGGTCTTATCTAAGCGGTAATTGGCGGTATTCGGAATCTAACTTTGGGAAGGCGTTCTCCGGACGTGGGTTCCAAGTTCGGCGTCGGAAGGCGGAAGTGATCTGACCGGGAGTCTCGGACAACTTTGGTAGGAGTTAAACCCAGTTTGTACGATATTGGTGAATAAATCCACGCCACCCTACAATTTTACAACAAGAGTGGCAGATTTTAAATACCTACAACTGATTCAAATTAACATATAATTAGAAAGATGAATTCCATAGGGTAATCAATTACCCATACTCTCCAGATGAAAATGATGAGAATTTTCCATCTCTACTATGATGGTGGAGAGCTTAGGATCTAACTTTAGGTTAGATTCTGTCATAAGGAATTTTATAGTATGGAAAATTCATGAAATTGGAAGTACTTTAGTGCTAACCAATAATATTATTGTATTTTTTATTATATTATGGATATTTATTAACAAAGCTTGATATATGAAGAAGATAATGTTTAGACAGTTAAAATGATGCAAGCAAAACACCTCATTGTTTGTCAAGTGTAACTGGTACATTTACTTGGTTAACTGAGTAGGTTTTATATTTGATTTCAGTATTGCTTTCAATACCGAATTTGTTTTATGTTTGATTACAGTATTGATCTTGATATTAAATTGTATTGTATTTAATTTAGTATTGGCTGTAATACTTGCATTTTTCAAAGATATCTGGATGCGGTCAATCTGCTTAGTGCCAAGATCTCAGATGGCCTCTAGAGTACTTTTTTATCGGGTCACCTCTCACTCAGCCTTGAGCAGTGTCAGGAAGCCTAGGAACTAAAGATGTAGTTTTGCAATTGACAATCAGATGAACATTGAGAGGTGGGAGCCACATGGCAGTGGAGGTACAGGTTGGAGTCATGTAATGATAAACAATAATAAAATCAATTTTTCAAACTGTAATGTAATGCGATAACCGTTTGCATGAAGAAATACCATAGGTGATGTTGGGCATAGAAAGAATGGAAGGTGGAGTTGTCACAAAGACTACAAGCTGTGGACACTCTCAGGATTCATTTGTTACTCCTGTAAGGAAATCCTCAGTATATTGAAATATGAGATACCAGGATATGGGTGACATAGCAAGATTGGGGCCAAACTAGGACACATCATGCAAATGACCAAGTGGGGAGAGTAGTAGGTAGGGGGAATCTAGATAAAGGAGGCAGGTACCATGTGACGCCGGGTTGACCGGCTAAGAGTTGTAGTATCCTAAGCAAACAGGAGAAGAGGTGGCATCACTAGGACAAGAAGAAAAATCCCACCAGCAATTAGGAAGAGAGAGGCAGAGAGAATTAGCATTAGCGAGACAGGGCCTGGGATTGGGTAGTGTTAAAATACAGTAGTGAAGGATATAACAGTATCAGAGCATGAGGCTGTAAGATTAGATGGGTGCTGCTATGCGAAAAATGTACCAATCTCTCAATGCAATAAATATACTTCACTTCATATGAAACCTCTTAAGCATGTAGAGTACCCTCTGATAGTCTTAAAAAATATTTGTCAAAGAAATTGAGCCCAGAGTAGAGTTTTAAAGGGAATATTTCAAAAAATCTGTTTTTTTTTTTATTATATAGAAAAATAAAGAAGATAAGGATCTATCAGGAAAATATTTCTGGCTTTATTTTAGGAGGCGAATTCATTGCTATAATATGTTTTGTAATTTTCATTTTGATTTCTTGATTGCAACTGTAATAATAAACCTATAGTATGAATAATAAGTACAATAGGAGATATCAGACAATCTGATTATCCAATCTTATTTGTAAGATGTTAACATAGTAAAGCAAAACTTCTCAACGAGAGCTTGAATTAAAGTGTATTCTTTTCTTTAAGCTCAAGTAGTATAAGAAATATCACTACATTTATTCTAAATCGATGAAACACAATTTTCTTCTCAAAGCAGATTCTTCTTCGAGTACTAGTTATATTGCTGATATGGATAACAGTGAGTATGAATCTCTTTGGGAGTCTAAAGAGCTAGAGACTGATACAGAGTCAGAATTTGCGAAAACAGATTTTAGTTTACATTCAGGTAAAAGGAAGAAGAATCTTCTTATTAGTTGTAAAGTAAATTAGATATATTAATAGATAACTTGAATAGATTCTGGCGATTTTCATGAACGTATTAGATAATTTCTAAAGTTATGCTCTTGCTCTCAAAGCTGTACTTTAAAAGCTAGTACTGAGGAGTGGAAACAATAGCTTAGATTTCAAGATACAGTTGACAGAAAGAAGAAAAAGCTGATGATAATATACCTTTTATCTTCTCAATTACTAGTAAGTGGTCATATTCTGTAAATATAATGTAAAGTATAAAGCTAAGATTTGTAGCCAAAGAAGTTTGAACAAAAAAAGATGAAGTACTGCTTGCCATTTGTTGGCAATGTTTGTTAGAAGCTCTTTTGTAAGTTTTGGGATATGGATAGAAGAGCGATTACAGCGATCTTGAATCATATTCGTACTCCTCACATGCCAGTACTAAAAGTCTATGGTAATCATAGAAAAATGTCATACAATCATATGGCAGAGGCTGTAGTACTGGGTTTAGAAGAATATCTAATGAGAATCAAGACAGACGAAGGTGAGTCTATTGCAACCCGTGTATTTAAAAAATGTTTGAAAAATGGTAAGATTGTAAAGTATATGGAGGTAGAACATAACATATTACTCCCCTCATATCTGTCATATCAAGTACTGTATGATCAGTATGTTAAAGAGATTAAGCATCAAAATCTGCAGTAGATTCCTTCATCTGAGTACTTTTACAGGTATTGGAAAACCCATGAGGTTTTCCGCTTTATGAAGATCTGCAAGCCCTCTAAAAATACTTGTAATGAATGTGCAATACTTAAAACTAACTCTAAGCTCAAGTCAAGTATCTGCCTAGAGGAGATATCTGATGGGGAAGTACTGTCTGAGGGGAGTGATAGTATGTAAGTCAATGAA